AACAGCCTCCTCTGCACCATCCAGACACAGATCCAAGCACCTTCAATGCCCCAACTCATCAGGCACCCAGCACTCATCCCAGCACCAACATCAGCATTGGACCCTTGCACTGAGTTTCAGCAGCTCCTGCACAACATAAGTAGGTGAAAGCCTCAAAAACCTCCCAGAAAAACCTACCCTAGCCAGAGCTGGAACACTTTCCCCTCTTTGGCAGCATCTCCTCAGCTCCACTGCCTTCTCTGGACATGCTCCAACACCTCAATATCTTTCTTGTAGTGAGGGACTCAAAGCTGAACACACAACACCCTCTTTCAGGTGCAGCCTCACCACAACTTTGGCTGAGCTTCAAGTTGTGCATCCTCACAGAGTATAAATAAACATGTATTGCTGACTGTTGTTTCTTAAATCACTTGAGTTAATAGGCAAGAAATGCATTAAGATTTAAAAAAAAAAAGTAATAACCAAATATAAGTTCTGGAAGAGAAGAGTGACCTAGAAAATCCAATTGTCCTCTGAGCAGCAATTGCACTGAGTTTGGAAGCTAAGTTTACTAATTAAGCTGAAACAGTAGATTTTAGTGGTGCTTTAAGTGCTAATTTCAACCATGAATCTCCAGCAAGTCTCTCTGCAACAATAAGAAAAAGTTGTGCAGACAGATGTTGTGTACTGAGGGTCTGCAAAGCACCTCAGCTCTTCCAGCAGAACCTTTCCAGATGGGCTCAAGAAGCTTCACCTCCCTCCAAGAGCTCCCCAAATCACCCCAGCCATCCTCCAAAGGCTTTCCTGGCCAGTTCCTCCAGGCTAAAAGCCTGTTCTTGACATTTTACCAGCAGCAGAGGATTTGTGGAAAGGGGGAAACTTTCCTATCCCTCTTTCTGTGCCATTCTCCCAGTCCTTAACCACTTGCTGACTTCAATCTGGAAGCACAAGGGTCTCTATTCCTTCCCAGCACGTGTGTTCTGGGAACCTCAATGAATTCCCCAAATTTTATTGTGCAGCAGGGAATATTTGTCATTAAACCCACTGCTCTAAGTGTTGGTGTATGCTAACAGACAGGAAGCAAAGGTGAAATGCAGGGAAGTGGTACCTTAAAGGCATTTAAACCTCAGCAATGTGTGGAGCAGTATTTCCTGGCCAAGATATTTCCAGAGAATCACAGCCCACAGTCCATGGAAAAAGGAAAATCAGCCACATCACTGGATCTCCCTGGAGATCAATGGCCCAGACAGGAGTCACACAGGGAATCAAAGGTTCTGTCAGAGAATAACACAGGACCAGCATCAGTTGGGTCAGGGTATAGTAAATCCTGAGGTTCCCAGTAACTAAACCCACTCAGGGTCACCTCCTTCTGTCCTTAGGATGCTGCTGCATGGGCAGCAGTGGGTTTGGGTGGACACTGAGACATTCCTGACTACTGACACGTTGTCTAGTCGTGGCATCCTGGACTAATTTGGGTTGGAAGAGACCTTAAAGATCACCTGGCTCCAGCACCATTGCTCTGGGCTGACTCACCAGTCAATGAGTTGTATTCCCTTCCAGCTTCAAGGGGAAAGGAGATGTTACAGACAACACCAACCCCACACCCAGGTGAGCTGGGAACTGCTCTGCAAACACATCTACAGCCACAACAACCTCATTTCTTCTTTCCACCTCTATTGACCCAACAAACATTAGTCACATCTCAAATCCAGGGCAGCTCTGTCACCCGAGGTGATAACAGCTACTTTTGGGTGATCTGTTCAAAGAAACTCTCTGGGCCTCAGAGCAGATCCCACTAAGCCTGTTCAACACACAGCTAGGTGAGCCCTAAGGATGTGCTCTTATTTGCATTGACCCAAAGAAAGCAGAAACATCCCCATTAAAACCTACAGTTGAAGCAGCAAAACCCTCAGTATGAGGTTCAGCCCTGCAAAGATAACACAAGGGCAGGGAAAAAAAAAAAGAAAAGCAAGGAAAAAAAGTAACTTTAGTTGATCAAAGGAGAAAGAGATTGTTTTTCCCCTTTCTTTTCAATCAAAGCTCAGGACATCAGGTTGTAACCTCTGCACTAAGCTTCCCATTACTGGCAGTCAGTCTGAAACAACTTGACACAATGACCCAGTGCTGGGCCCAGGAGGATTATTAGGAATCAGAGCACATCACCTCCTCAGAGCACATTAGAAGCTCTCACTCAGGTACAGGAGAGCCACTCCAGCCCTAGTTAAAGGCAACCAGGTCCTGGAGAAACTACTGCTCAGGGGGCCAACTTGCTCCAGAATCCCAAATAACCTTCCTCTGTGTGTGGGTGCCAAAGGTGGGAGCCCAAAATGCTGCACTCACCTTGGTTCCTTCACTCCTCAAGATTCTTTTCTGGAGAGCTGCCAGGAGCATGAAGCCTTGGTTTCCTTTCAGCCCTGCTCCAAAAGGAGAAAACACAAAAATGAAATAAAATATAAAATATAAAATAACAATTAAAAATAAAACGACTTACCCAGTGCTCACTCTCTCAGGGAGCTCCCACGGGCCTGGAAATTCCAACTGCCTCAAGACAGGGAGGATTTTTCCTTCCTCCCAGCTCGAGTTTGTGGAGTTGCTCAGCAGTGATGAGATCAGGCTAAACTGTCTCTTGCACAGCAAAGGTGTTAAAAGACACTAAACCTGATGCTGTTTGTGCTGTGCACCCAGCCCAGCCCTCAGCCAAGGGCATGGCCCAAGCTTTTGAGAGGTTGATAATGAGCTTTTTGCTGATGATTAGTGATGTTCTTTCACTAATCCTTCTTAATGCCATCCTTGAAAGTCAGGTTTGATCTCCATGGCAGGAAGCATCTCCCCACGCTATTCTGCTGCAAGCCAAAGGAGACATCAACAGCCAAGCAAACAGCCAGAACTGAAAGGTTTTGTTTGGAAGTGACCAGATCCAGAGAGGGAATAAAGCTGTTGGAGAAAAGCTGAGATTTCTGCATCTCTCTCAGAGTATCCATATGCCCAATGCCAATGAGCTGAAGCCATCATCTTGCCTCAAGGGTCTCTCTCCAGCCTGAGCCCTGCCCAGCCAACACCCCATCTCTCCCACACACCCCAAAATCCATGACAAACCACCTGCCTCACCTCTTAATTCACCCTCACACCTTCTGACTATAAACAAACAGGAGAGCTGCTCCCTGCCAGTGCCAACAGGGTACCCTCCATCCTTTCCATCCACTGGTCACCAACCCTTTGCTCCAGGCAGATTTGTGCACATTAAATCACACACAGTTCCATCCCTCAGGTGTTTCAGCCACCCCTCAAACCACTTTGAAGCCACCATTGCCTTAGACATTCCTTCAGCCTCAAGGCACCGTAATCAAGAGATCCATCGAGGTGGTGTGTGTTAAAGTACTTTATTGGTGATCATGGATACTCTGTGCACGTTAAGCTTTGTACAAAAACCTCTCCACTAACACCAGAGTGAGCGACAGCCACCAGGAGCTCCGACCTTGGCTTGGCTCCCTTCTGAGCGAGCAGAAGGGAAAGGAACACAAATAAAAACCAGCCACGTTGGCCACACCAGTTGGACTCCAGCAGCAAACCAGTCCTGCAGTCCACAGCCTGAGCTGCAGCACAGGGAATGGAAAAACTCCCTCCCAGATGAGCCTGGTTTGTTCTCACGACCACGAAGGGATGAGCAGGAAAGGCTTCACATCTCCTGCCGCGCTCTGCCTCGGGGTCCTGCCTCCCACGTCTGATGCTGCTGTAGTTTATCAAGACTAATTAAAAACCTCATCTCAAGAGCTCTAAGCCAGCAGGGAAGAAGTTTCCATGCCCGTCACGGCCTCATTTGTCATCCGAGCTGCTCTCGGGCAGCAAGGCACCACCCGAGCTCCTCTTGGCCCCGCGCAGGCACAGGCCACAGTCCAACTCCACGTCGATGTCCCCGAATTTCAGCTGGCAGGACTCATTGCAGCTGCAGGACAGACAGGGACACTGGTCAGGTGTTTGTGGGCAGCAGAGCCATGGCTCACCCCAGCCTGCTCAGGAAGGTTGTGCCAAGCACATCCTTTCCAACCAAGATGTGCTTGGACACACACTTTTCTCAGCCCACGATACACAGGAGTGGATGGAGTCCCCAGCCTGGTATTGTGGTGGGTGATGCTCTCAGCTGATGCCCCGTGGCAGAGCCCCCAGGACCCTGTCCCCACGTACCAGCGGGATGCAGCAGAGTTGGCAGCCAGGACGGCGAGAGCGCCCGCGTAGTGCCAGCAGAAACACATGGTGAGGAACGTCAGGTTGCTGTGGTCAGTCTGATCCCAGCCTGGGCCTCCCCACGGAGGGGACAGCACAGACCCAATCTGCTCACAGATGGAGATGTTAGGCATTGGCACATGTCACATCCTTCCTCTTTTCCTCCTGATTTTAGCCAAGCTGCGTCAGCTGACTATGGACTAGAGGCACAATAACCCCATGTAACACCTGGGCCACTGCCCTCAGCACCCCCAAGCACCCTTGGCCTGCCAGACTGACACAGGAGTGTGTTTCAGGAAGAGATGGATGCTCTGCAGACAAGCCCTAGGGCTCACAGTGCAGTCCAACATCCCCAGAGAAAGATGACACTGCCAGGCTGTGTCACCTTTGGGATGACCAAAGACCCCTAGACCCAAACCTGGGTGATTACATGAGAGACTTCTGAACATTCCAAGTCACTTGGAATAAATAAATTTGGCCCAATAAAATGAATAAAACCTCCTGATTGTGGTTTCCCACCCTTGTGGGGTCTGATTGCCATTTAGCACACAGGTCTGTCCATGCTGTCTACACTACATCTGCATTTCTCCATCATGACAGCTCTGGCACTAAACCTCATTCAATCCTTTGATTTACCAAGATGTTCCAACCAGTCTGCAAGCTTAATCCCAACAGATGTGCCATAATAGGCAGAGCAGCCCCCTCTGCTCACCTTCCTGGGTGCAAAGCTCACTGCTCTGAGGAGAACACTGGCTACACACTGACCTGCCAAAGCCAAGAGCCCTGGAGGAGGAAGGAGCTGGTCCTGAAGGTCTCCAGGATGATGTGGTCTCGGAGGAACACCTCCAGGAGAGCACAGAGGGCTCCAGCAAAGATAGCCATGGCCAGCAGGGAGTGGAGGTGCTGGTCCAGAGCAGCATTGCTGTAGTCACGGAAACAGAAGAGCAAACCTGCCAAGATTCACACTGTGTTAGCAAAGGACACTGTGGGGTTTGTCCTTTCAAAATACATCAGAAAACTGAGACTCTCCTCCAGGTCTTACCATGATCTGCTTGGTGGGAAGAGCCAGACAGCAACCAGCCTGCTGTCAGCACCTTCACCCTGCAAGGATCACACAGCCCCAGCCTGGGCCCTGCTCTGCCCACTGTACCCCCCAAACCTGCAGGGATCCCCATGCCCCAGCCAGGGCTGGAGGGCTTCAGGAGGAGCACAGTGATCACAGAATATTCAGAGTTGGAAGGGACCCTTGAGGATCATCTATTCCAGCTCCTGGCCCTGCACAGGACAATCACAAGAATCTCACCCTGTGCCTGAGAGCATTGGCCAAACACTCCTGGAGCTCTGTCAGCCTTGGGGCTGTGCCCACTGCCCTGGGGAGCTGCTCCAGCACCCAAACACCTCTGGGGGAAGAACCTTGTCCTAATATCCAGCCATCCAGTGTTGAGAACCTTGAGCTCAGAAGATGGTTGGGAGCTTTGTATCAGGGTTTGTCCCTCTGTGCATCCAGCCAAGGTGGGGGGAGGACAACAACTTTTTGCTACTCCAGAGTGAGCTACTCCAGAGTGAGCCAGCTGCTTGTCACCAGGAGAAGCAGAACCCTCGAGCATCCCCTGTGCACCTGGAGCATCCAGCCATGGCTGGATTCATATTTAGGGAGGAACAGGGATGGGGAGACTTCAGCACACAGACACTGCCATTGCACCTCCACACACCCTCCAGCTGTGCCTGCACAGAGCTCTGCTGGCCCCAGCACAGCCCAGGAGCTGTCACACACACTGGTGAGCCCCACGATGCTTCCCCATCCCATGTCCCATCCTCCCCCAGGCACCAGGAGTGATTCACCTTCAATGAACAGAGCCACAGACAGTGAGAGTCTGTCTAAGCCAGGAGGCAGCTTGAGTGGGGAGTGTGAGACCATGTCCATGATGCCAGAGAGGAGGAAGAAGAGGTAGACGGTGGAGTAGTGCCAGTGGGTGAGGTCTGTCCAGCTCTGTGTCTTGGGGCTGTACAGCTGCAGGTGGGGACCAGTGGGGACAAACTGCTCCACCAGTATTCCTGGGTAAAGAGTGGAAAAAATGTCATGCGTTTCCTTTTACACAGAGGGAAGGACAAGCCTGCAGGAAAACTGTCTTTGCAGGGCTGAAGCAGCAGTGGTGTTTTCCCAGAGGAAGAATAGTGAGGTCCCATCTCAAACATGTCCCCAAGCCCTCCCACACCTGCTGCAGGTGTTTCCCCACTACAAACAGCTCCAGCATCACTAGATGTTGGGGCAGAGACTCATCATAGTCTCATAGTATGTTAAGGAGTTGGAATGGAGCTTAGAGATGATCCAGCCCCAACCCCCTGCCCTGGGCAGGGACACCTCCCACCAGAGCAGGTTGCTCAAGGCTTTAGCCAACCTGGCTGTGAACACTGCCAGGGTTGGGGCAGCCACAGCCTCCCTGGGCAACCTGGGACAGTGTCTCAAACCCTCACAGGGTAAAACTTCCTCCTAATATCTAATCTGAATTTCCCTCTTTCCATTTCTCCCCATTCCTCCTTGTCCTGTCCCTGCAGCTCCTAACCAAGAGTCCCTCTGCAGCTTCCCTGGAGCCCCTTCAGCTCCTGGCAGGTTGCTCTGAGGTCTCCACACAACCTTCTCTTCTCCAGACCATCATCATCATCTCTTACCTATGAGAGCAAAGAAAGCTTTGACTGCCCCTTCGAAGATCTCTGCACGCCCAAAGCTGTGCTGGCTCTCAGCATTGTCTTTCCTCCTCAGGTACTTCAGGGGGTACCTCACAGACCACCAGAGACCAAAGATGAAGAAGAAAGTGCCCCTGAGGGCACTGCCAAGGAAAGTCGTTGGCATTGGGTTCTCTTGCTGGACCTGTGAGGACAAACAGTGTCTCAGGAGTGACCCAAAGCATCCTCAAAGGACATGTTGGGCTGCTCTCCCAGGGATCCACATCCTGACAGAGCAGATGTGCATGGCATAGGCTGCAAACAGGTAGTACCAGAGGTGGGACAGCACCAGGGGGAAGCTGCCACCACATACCACTGGGTATATATATATATGCATATATACATACAGTCATTGGGACTTTGTCATAGAGAACAACACATTAGTGCCCAACAAAATGCAACAGGTAGCAGAACACCATAACACAGTTTTTGCTAATAAAAAGCAACATGACAATTATTGTCTTAGCCCATAAACTCCCTCCAAATGAGCCAGGGTGTGAATCCAGCCCTGCATCCAGCAGCTTCAGCCAGCCAAGGCTTTGCTGGGCTCCACTGGAGGAGGCAACCCAGGAACCACTAACATTTCCAACAGGAGCCACATGCATATTCCACACAACCTTCCTTTGGCAAAGCAGTGATTTGGCACAGGGGAAAGAGATTTCAGCTCCACAGGAAGAGCCTGAAGACTCAAGGCATGAAAATTGCCTTCAGGCTAAGCTGAACCAATGCCACTGAGTAGCAGCAAGGATGGAGAGGAGCAAAGTTACAGCAGATGTACATCCTGCAAACTATTTCAGCCCATACCCAAAGTGCTGGGAAAAAAATCCCAGTGCAGAAAGCACAGAAAGAAGTAAGGAATGCTTACAGCAGTGAGTTTTTGATATTACCTTGGGATGGTCTTGTCTCCTCCAGCAAGACCTCTCTCCTCGCTCCCTTCTGCCACCTAAAGAGGTGGTAAACTTCTACCACCTAAGGAGGACTCACTTTTTCACTCCACATGGCCTTCCCAGTCCTTTTCTACAGCTCAGATGTGCAGGGAGGAAGGCATTACTCATCCCAAAGCTGCCACTCTGACCTGCCCTTGCATCACAAATCACCTCCTCGCTGTGTTTATAAATACCAGAGCGAATTGCAGGGGCTGGATGAACAACTCCAGCACGTTCTCCGAGTCCTCCCACACTAGAAAGTAATTAGGCACTGCAAAATGAGGGTAGGATGTGGCATGGCAAGTGCCTGAGGTGAGGGAGAGCTCTGCAAGACATCCCTGGTTGGGTTTTGGAGCTGGGGTTGGGCAGAGTGGCTCAGCCCTGCACGGGCAAGCACAGGGTTTGGCTGTAGAAACCATCATCATCCATTGCATCTCCAGGGTACAGACAATCTGGGAAAGGCTCAACACTGTTTATGCCATGCTGAGGTTTCCTTTCAGGAGGGAAGTTACTAAACAGCCTTTCAGGTAGGTGGGAAACTCCCCATCCAGGAGCTGTTTGGGGACCAGGGATAGCTCTCTGCTCTATTTTGGGTGCCTAGGTTAGGGTGAGACAGCTCATGCCCCAGGAGGACTCACATCTTTCCTGATTATAGCCTGGACACCCAGTCCAGGGCATTTATCTTCCCTGCACAGACATCTACATGCTGAAGTGACTAACAACAAACACTATGAAAGCACATTTAAGCACAGCACAATTGCACGATCTATAACCAAATGCTACTATTGTCCTACTTGTGACTGCAAGGGCAACAGCCTGAGGCAGGAGCCAGGAGCATACCCTGAGCAAGACACACGTCAGGAACGTTAATTTGACATGATTAATCAGAGGAGAGAAGGAGAGCAGAGATATCCCAGAGCCTAGAAATGATGAATGACATGTCCCACCTGCAGCTCCAGAGGCTGCTCCAAACCACACCAGCATCAACCCAGAGATATGTCACTCCACATCCACCAACCCTCCTCCCCTTCACCTGAGTTAGCAGCAGACCCAAAACACTCTTTAAGATGTGTCTCTGGGATCTGGGGTGGGATTGGGTGATCTTTAAGGTCCATTCCAACCCCTCAGCATACTCTGATACTATGAACTAGGCCATGTTCTCCTGATCTCCTACTCTGACCATCTCTCCCAAGTGAAACAGCCCTGTTTTTCCTTCCAGTGCCAGAGACCCTTTTGCTTTACAACCTCTCAATAGCCAAACCCAGCAAGGCTTTGGGGTGTTATCCAAGTCCTCATTGCTTCCAACCAGCTGGACACAGTGCTTCAGCAGCCACCACAGATCATAGAATCTCAGGGTGGTTTGGGTTGGAAGGACCTTAGAGATCATCTCATCCTACCCCCTGCCAGGATCAGGGACACCTTCCACCAGCCTAGGTTGCTCCAAGCCCCATCCAACCTGGCCTGGAACACTTCCAGGGATCCTGCCATGTGCAGAGATGCCCCAGCCCCACCATCAGTCAGGCAGAACTGTGCATGGAGCCCACTCAAAAAGAAATCCCACCTTCTTTTATAAAACAGCCACAGAAACCAGACATGTTTCCAAGCAACAATCCACTTGCACTGCTCAAGTCTTTGAGGAGCACAAAAACAACCCCCCACAAACACAGCCCCCCTTGACCAACCCACCCAGCCCAACCTTGCCACCCTCACCCAGTGGCTTCCCCCACAGCAGAATCTGAGCCCACGCTCACAGAAAAGCTGATTGAGCTCTGAGTGAGCTGCAGCAGGGGAAGAGAAGAGGCACTGGGGTTATTTATGCCTCCTGTGAGCTAGTTTGTCTGTCAGAGCAGTTGAAATACGGCTGCAGTCACAAGTGATTACCTGAGCTGCCCTTCTCCCTGAGCAGCTCCCAGCCTGCCATGCCTTGCTTAATAGCCATCTGGGAGCTGCCTGCTCTGCTCATGGAGCCTTCCTGACTGCTCCCAGCCTCCCTGGAAAAAACCCGCCCCCGTGGGGGCCCCTCCCCCAAGCCCTGCCACAGCTCCATGTCCATCCCTGATTTCAGCCCTGTGCTGGGACTCACTGCAGCTGAGGCAGAGGGGTCAGTGCTGTGGGATGATCCTGTCCACGTGGATGGATGAGCAGACCCCACAAGCACCCAGGGGTGCCACCATAGCCTGGCAGGCAGCATCCCAGCACAGCCAGTCTTCATGGAGAGGGCAAGCTCAGCACCTGGCCATGGGCATTTGGAGGGTCTTCTCCTTGTGGATCTTCCTCCATCCTTGAACAATTCCAGGGATGGAGCAGCCACAGCTGCTCTGGGCAACCTGTGCCAGTGCCTCAGCATCCTCACAGCCAAGAATTTCTTCCTAATGTCCAATCTATCCCTGCCCTGTCAGTGTGAAGCCATTCCCCTTTGTCCTGGCACTCCATACCCTTGTCCAAACTCCTTCTCCAGCTCTCTTGGAGCCCCTTTAGGCACTGGAAGGGGCTCTAAAGTCCTTCCAGAGTCTTCTCTTCTGCAGGCTGAACAATCCCCATCCTGTGCCATGGTGCAGCTCCAAAACACAATAAACCCCCTTAAAAAAGGAGCTAAAGCTACAGGTTTCTGGCACACTGCCTCCACCAGCATCACTTCCACCAGCCTCACCCATGGCCATCATCACTCTGAAGCTTCACCTTGCAGAGATCTCCTCCACACATCCCTTATTCCCAAGCTCCAGCAGCCACATCCATCCCATGGCACAGCTGCTCACCAGTTATTTCTCTCCGTGGGTAGAAGCATTTACCTGTGACTCCTGCCTGTCCTTCTCCCTCTCCAGCTGTGTCAGCAAGGAGGTTATTACTGGGAAGAGGCAGATAAAGGGAGAAGCCACCACGGGGAGGTGTCCCTCAGACAGGATGTTTGGAGCAGAACATCCTGCAGGGCAGTTCAAAGCACACTGACTCAACCACCTTTCACAACCTGGGCCACCTCCTGCCTGACACGAGAAAAAAAAACCCACCCAAAACAAAACCCAAAAAACCAACCAACAACTCTCCTGGACGTCCTGCCTGCCACGAAAAAAAAAAACCCACCCGAAACAAAACCCAAAAAAACCAACCAACAACTCTCCTGGAGTTTGCCACAAAAATCAGGATGAGCAGCCAATTCCCATTGCCATGGCAACCATGTATATTCAGTTATGATGATGGGGTTTTTTTTGGATGACTGGGGAAGGAGCCAAGGAAAGATAAGGCTGCAGCATGGTCTGACAGGGCCAAGCTCTGCTGGAAGTCTCTGAACTGGGTTGCCAGGGACAAAATAACCCTTTTAGGGGGGGTTCAACCTTACAAGTGTTGCCTGAGGGCAGGAGATTTTTGGGCCAGGAGCTCACAAAACAGAGCAGAGCCTTTGTGAGCTCCATCTCCCAGGGCACAGCAGCCAAGGAGAAGGGACAGTGGCCCTCTCTGCTCCAAAAGATATGCTGGCAGGACACAGCAGCCTCCTCCACTCCTTTATACCTTGCCAACACCTGACACCTCCCAATGCTAAGCACTACAGACACAAGCCATGACCCTATGGCTGCACACCACACTGCACAGCTGAGCCATCAGAGTGTCTCCAGGCAGAGAAATGCCACAGGCCACCCCAGTGTCCCCATGTCCCTCCACATCCCTGAGCTGGTGGTGCAGAAACACTCAGCACCACTCCAGAGCACTGCCCAAGCTCCTGATCATGGACACCAACAGCACATTCCCAACCCAGTGTTCCTCCTGTGGAGTTGTGTGAGTGTTTCTCTCACCTAATTCCTCATGCTCCCCCAACCACCCCAAGCAAACCTGCAGGACAAGCCATGCCCTGAGCCACACACGTGAGCCAGAGCCCCACGGAAGCCCCAAGGCTGGAACAGCAGGAAAGCAAAGCAGCCTGCACAACCCTCCCCAGGGTGATGGGCTGTGCTCCAACAGAGCCATAAAAGCCACCAAGCCATAGCCAGGAGCTCTTTTATTCCCATTATCTCCATATCAAGTAGGAGGAAGGGAGGAAAACAAGAGGCTGGCGGTGGTGTTGGCACACAGCAAATTCACCTCCAACGGTGCTTGAGGAGCAGGATGTGTGGCAGAGGGATGAAACACAGAACCATTACAGCTGGAAAAGACCTCTGAGATCAACGAGTCCAACCTCTCACCTAACACCACCATGGCAACTAGGCCATGGCACATCCAGTCTCTCCTTAAACACCTCCAGGGATGGTGACTCCACCACCTCCCTGGGCAGCCCCTTGCTATAGCTAGTCATGCTTTCTGTAAAGAAATTCTTCCTGATGTCCAATCTAAACTTGCCTTGGCACAACTTAAGACTATGTCCTCTCATCCTGCCACTTGTTACCTGGGAGAAGAGGCTGAGCCCACCTGGCTACAACCTCTTGGACCAACAGGGAATCCCACAGCAACAAAAGAACTTCCACAAAGGCAGTTTCACCCAAGCTTGAGCTTCAGGAGTTTGCTGCAACATTAAATCCAAGCACAGGGAGAAATACAACCCTCAGAGGAGCTCTTCCTTACAGACCTACCCCTAAGAATAAAACAAGAAGAAAAACATACCTTTTCTGATGGAAAATAAAGCAGTAGCACCACCAGGGACCTCTTCAGCTCAGTTTTCCTTTCTGCAGCCTCCCAGCTCTACAAACCACTACCCCAAAGGGGAGCTTAGCATGAAGCTGCTTCCCAAGCAGTAGGAATCAAGTCCTTGGAGCCAGTGGGGAGGGCTGCTGGGAGGGCAGCAGTTGGGGGCTGAGGGGAGGAAATGAGGCCCAGCTGAAAACTATCTGCTCAGAGGATCAATGTGCCTTTTTTTCCTATGGAGTTTAAAGGGCCAGCAAAGAGTAAAGCTCAGAGAGAAAGTTTCTATGAAAAGGACAACTTGAATTACACTGATTAGCTTTAGGTGCATGAAATGATGGAAGAAAGAGAGTTTCTACCCTTTTAACCATCCCCAGGAGGAAAATGAGGGTGGGAACAGCCCTGTTAGGGGATGTGGAGAAAGGATGGCATCTCCCCCCAGTCCCGGAGTGAGTCTCACACACTGTACAGGCTAAAATAACTGTGGGCACAAAGGGATGTGATTCCATTCCAGTTCCTTAGGGATTGGACCAGCCTGTCCTCTTCTTCCTCCCAGGGAGAGACCAGATGCATCCAACCCCCTTCAGCCTCTCTACTGTCCTCAAGCTAAACCCTGAACTGAATTAGATTTCATATTTTTGCTTCCTTTGTCTCTTTTTTTTCCCTTCCTCTCAGCTCTAACTGCAACAACCTCTCCCCAAAGGTTCATCATGGGCCTCGGTGCTAATGCAAAAATGTGCTAATGTTTGCCTCCTTCCTGGGGGTGGTGGGAGGCACAATCTAATTAGAGGTTTGCAGCAGCTCCAGTGCTGCAGATGGATGGTTGTTTGGGAAGTACAGAGTATTATTATGATTATTATGACGAATGCTAACAGCAGCTTTCATAAACAGGCAACAGAGGAGGTGAAGCAGGTGGTAAAAGCATAGGCAGGGCTTGTTCTGCTGCCCACACCTTCATTTCAGCCCTACATAAATGTGGCTGTGCAGGGTGGCAGATCCTATCTCTGCCCAAGGAATGAGTGGATGGGCTGTGCTGGGGCTCTTGATGAAGGGTTTGCCTTTGTAGCTGCAGGAAGAGCCAGCTGCCAGTGTATTTGGCTGCTCTGGGGGGTGTTGTCTGGGTTCCCTTGTAAGAGCAGTGTAGATAACACTGGTGGGAGGATCAGTAGCTCTTTCCGGTGTGGATGAGCAAATCACTGGAGTGACAAATCCAACAGCAGGCTGGAGTGACACAAGACAAAAAGCATCCCTGAGACATCCCCCAGGGCACCCTGGGCATAGAATCAAGGAATCAATCAGGTTGGAAAAGATCTCTGAGATCATCCAGTCCAACCTATGACCTAACACCACCATGTCAACCAGACCATGGCACCGAGTGCCACATCCAGTCACTCCTTAAACACCTGCAGGGATGGTGACTCCACCACCTCCCTGGGAAGCCCATTCCAATGTCTGATCATCCTTTCTGTGAAGTTATCCATCCTTTATGTGAAGTTATCACAGCCTATGGGCCTTTGAAGATCAGTGTGGCTATGGACACAAATCTACCCCCACTCCACTCACCCTATATGGCCAAAGACACTCTCATTCAACTTAGAGCATCATAGAGTTATTCAGGTTGGCAAAAACCCTCCAAGATAAAGTCAAACCTTTGAATCCAACCATTATATACTGAAAAATATGATCCAGGACAATTGGTTGATATTAAAGCTGTGTTAAAAGCAATTATCCCTCTAGGATTGTCCTGGAATCCCAGAGGGATAATTGCCTTTCACTTCAGAAATAAATGTAAGGATGGCTCATGGTTGCAGCTCTCTAATAAACCATCTCTGGATCACCCACCCAGACACCTCCATGTATGTCCTTGTTTGGCTACCTAAACTAGTTACAAATGCCTTTTTTAGCTCAAATGAAAAGCACTAATTCTCTTCCAGAAAATAACCCCAACTGTATTTAATCACAGGTTGGATCTTTCCTCCTTCACTGACCTTCATACCTTGGGAAAGAATGTGCTCCAGAGCTGGAAAACAAATTAGTGAGTGCTCTACTGAGAGTCCTGGGATGTTTGTAGGAGCAGGGAGTTAATGAGGCAGACAGAAACTATTCCAGACACCCAGTGCTGCAGAGGGAAAATGATGTTTTGTGGCCACATAGTGACAGGGGACAAAAAAAACCTCGGGGGGGAAGGAGACAGCAACTTGATGAGGAGCAGCAAGGAGAGCTGAGAAGGATGAACCAAACCGTCTGCCACTTTCAAAAGCTAAGAGTACTTCTTAAAACCAAAGTCAGCGTTCATCTGTGTGTCTTGGGATGGAAAAACCTCCAGGTTTTGGGGGTGGGAAGGAAGAGAGTGGCTGCAAGGTGACTGCAACCAGCATGGGTATGTAGCTGGTGCCACCTGCTGCTCTGCCCTCCCCTGGCTGCTGGATGGGAACAGTGATGCTTGGGCTGTTTGCTGAAGGAAAACGACTCCGACCAGAGCAGAAAGAACTCAGAGCATCATTCAGAGCCTTTTAGCTGCTCAATGAGCTGCTGTGTGTCCTGCAGTGCTCCTGGTGACTCGGTTTGTCACCTTACAAACAGGGTGTTCTCCTCACCTTATGAGGTGACATCTGCACTAGGAGTTGTGCCTCATTGCAGCAGCAAGAGGAATTTCTGAGGCTTAGAAATGCTATCCTGCCTTGGCAGGGGGAAAAAAATAGCTGCAAAATGCTCCTGTGTTCAGTGGTTACAACTCATGAGACTTAATCATGGCATTTATCAGATGGATTTATGGGGATGTTATGGCTCTGCTGCTTCATTCTCCTCACGCCCAGTCTGCCTGCACCTCCCAAGATCCAGCCCTGCTGTGGAAATCCAGGAAAGCTGGAATTCAGGGAGAGCCAGGGAGGCTTTACAGCACTGTTAACGAGCAATACATCCAGGCTGTTGCCCCTGTGAGCTGCAACAAGCTCTTTACACCAGGGGAAAGGGGTTAAAGGATGAGCTTTGCCTTCCCTCAGACCTGCCAGGAGCTGCTTTTCTCTTCAGCCCAGAAATCAGCTGCCATCCATCCCCCTCACTTCACAGCAGGGAGAAGACCTCAGTGCAGAGCATCCTTCCAGCCCCAAGGGGTTTGAGACATGAACAGTTGCAATTCACCTTGTGCTGGTGTTTATTTTATCTCTAAACATATATGTATGTGTGTTATTTTTAATCCCCATCGTCACTACCAGCACATTTTCCTCCTGAATAGGAGGTGACATTCCCATTTTTTGCAAGAAATTAGCTGGCAAATGCAAGCTAAAAGCAAACCCATGTGCCTGTTTCATCTCACTTTCCAAGTGAGGGGTTTGTTTTCAATGGAAAACTGGGACGTTTCAGGCATCCCTGCTGCTTAACCATGTATCTTACAGCCCCTTCAGGCTTTGCAGGTCTGAGGGATGGATTTGTCTAAGCTATTATTACACACTCTATAATTTATCAGTCTTCAATTTCAGGATATCAGCTCAGTGAGGGTTTTTATTTCACATTTATTCACTCTCTCAGCCTTTAAGTGAACATGAAAACGATTAACAAACCCTCTTTTCAGTTCAAAGCATCAGTAAAAACATTTGTGTTGTGCACAATCAAGCCCTGGTGTTGCAAAAAATTGCCATCATCTCACATTCCACACTCTTTTACTCATTCTCCTTGAGGTGATGACTTGCTCCAGAGGTACATGACCTCAGCCTGGAGGTTTCAATCAAGCAGGTCAAAGCCTCCAGGCTCTTGGAAGAATCAGCTGGGCAGAGGATGCTCTCCATCCCTATGGAAACACACATAGGAACCTATAGGATGGAGCAATCTTGTCAGGTTGAATTTCCATGCTTCATTTTGCTGCTGAAAAATCACTTCAAACATTGCTCATCTCTGAGCTGGAGATATTCAGGCACTGATGGAGAACAACTACCCTCCCCATGCTCAAACTGCTCTCAACCTGCTTCCAGCAGCACAACTCTGGCACCTCTCACTCCTCCAAAACAGAAAGAGTTCATCAGATTCTTTTTTTTTCTTCTAGAAAACGGATTCTTCACATATTTGGAGAGGGAGTTTTTCACCCTCTTCACTCTTCATCAGAGCCATTCAGGAAGGCAACTTGGGAGCTGCTGTCACCTTTGTGCTGCCGAACCCCCAGGCTGATGTAGGGCTCTGTGCCACCTCTCCCAAACCTCTGGAGGCACCTGGAATGCAGGAGCAATAAATCACTGTTAGCAAAACCCCCAGACTAACATCACTCATTAGAGCCCTCAGGGAAGAAACAATTCTAGAGGTCCTAAAATGCTGTTTGGGGGGTTTTATTCTCTATAAAGTCTATTTGCTGGCATAGATTGGACTATCAGAGGTAATCCTGTTTAGGGGGGTTTTATTCTCTATAAAATCTATTTGCTGGCATAGATTGGACTATCCCTTCTGCAGCCTACACAGCATCCCTTAGAGACTCTTAGAGCACCCCTAAAAGTGGGATAATATCCCTTTCCCCTTGTCCTTTTTCCCCTTGGGAAAGCCTTGCCAGGGGCTGGCAATGTTTTAGTTCTTACACTTCTAATCCTGTTTAGGGGGGTTTTATTCTCTATAAAATCTATTTGCTGGCATAGATTGGACTATCCCTTCTGCAGCCTACACAGCATCCCTTAGAGACTCTTAGAGCACCCCTAAAAGTGGGATAATATCCCTTTCCCCTTGTCCTTTTTCCCCTTGGGAAAGCCTTGCCAGGGGCTGGCAATGTTTTAGTTCTTACACTTCTAATAACTCAGGGATTGTCAACTGCTTTGAAGCCCTTGCAAGTGTCAGAGGGTTCTGGTAATGCTTTGAGTTCTCTATTGAATTAAAGTTTGACTTCAAGCACTCAATGCAGAAGGAAAAAAAAATGATGTGACTTCCAGGAGCAGCTCCAGGGGCTCAGTTCTTTGACTTCTCCATGTCTAATGCCTCTTGCTGCCACTGCTTTGCATTCTGTGCACTCAACAAACACCACGTCCACTTGTCACTTTGCCCTAAAACTTGCAGTAGGCTGAGGCTGCTTATTCAGCTGTGACTTCCCTGGAGTGCATCTGTGTCTCACTGCAGCCATCCCCACCCCTGCCTGCCCACCCACTCCTGCCCCAGTTTGTGCCCAGCCATACCAGCAGGTGAGGGTGAAGTTTATCACCAGCACAGCCACAGCAGCTGCCCAGTGCCAGAAGAAGCACATGGTGAGGAACATGATGTTGTCATGGTCTGTCTCATCCCACATGGGACCTCCCCATGGCTGGAACAGCACAATACCAATCTGGGGGGAACAAGAAATTTATTACCTTGGGGAAGAGAAATAAAGAATCATAGAATCCATTACTGGTTTGGGTTGGAAGGACCTTAAAGCTCATCTCATTCCACCCCTGCCATGGGCAGGGACACCTTCCACTAGACCAGGTTGCTCCAAGCCCCATCCAACCTGGCCTGGAACACTCCCAGGGAGGGAGCAGCCACAACCTGGTCCAGTGTCTCACCACCCTCATGGTGAATCCCCTTGATCTACATGGTGACCAAGGAGCTTGAGCCCTGACCAGGGCTGATTTTGCTGAGATTTTGCTGGGACAGTGAGGCTCAGCCTTGCAATGACAGGCCACTCAAGGCCAGTCTGCACCTGGGATCTCCCTTATTCCATACAATATCCAGACACAATCATCCCTCAGCACTGCAAACTCTGAGCCATCCTTTAAAAACTCCAGATTTAGTATTTTATAAGCTCAGGCCAGTTTTTAACCTCTCAATAGTGGCTGGATTGACACAGCTGGGGCTGAGAAAGGTGAAGGGAACTCAGCTTTTTACAGTGGCTTAGTTTTGGGAGTGATTATCTCCAACTGATTTCTTTGCTTCTCCATCTCCTCCCAAAGCAAGCAGCTGGCTGGCTGGGTTTTAACTCAGCCATTTTACTGCTGGTGGGCTTTGCATTCTGCACTAAACCAGAGGGAGGGCTGCAGGCTGCATTAGACACATTAAGCAATTAGTACTTGGTTGTTAGCTACTGCGAAACGTTGCTCACTTGCTTTCGCTCGTCCCCCCAGAGAAGCAATAAGCCAAGACAAACAGCTCTTTC